CTCTGGTCCTCCGCGCGCTCCGCCCGCTGGCTTGAGGCCCCACCTTCCAATCTGCGCGGGGCCGTCAGGCCCACCGCGACCACCGCTCATCCGCCTCGGGCCCGGCGCCGTCCCCGACCCCCCTTGCCCCCGCCCCTGCCGCCTCCCCCCCTCGCCCCTGGCCACGGGGGCCTGCGCAGGGCCGCGGTCGCCCCGGCTGCGGGCACAAGGGTCGACCCAGATGTACCTCCCGCGCCGCCTCCGCCCCCCACGCCTGGCCCTGCTCCCGCCATCCCCCGCGCCACGTCAGCCGACCGCCCTCGCTCGGGCGTGCCTCCGCGCGCCGTGCCTCGACCCCACCGCGCGCGCCTTGCCGCGCCGACAGGCCTCGGCCACTGCTTGCCCCTGGGGAATCCTGGGCTCTGTGTCCATGTATTCGTGTGTCCTTGGGCCCCTCGACTTACCACATGGCCTCGGCCACGGCGGAATCCTGGGCTCTGTGTCTATGGATTCGTGTGTCCTTCGGCCCCTCGGCTTACCACATGGCCTCGGCCACTGCTTGCCCCGCCCTCGCCTGCGGCGGCGCGGCCTCTTCGGCCCCCGCCCAGCGGGGGACTGCCCGCTGCGGGCGCCCCGTGCTGCTGCTGCGGCCTGGGCCTGCCCCGCCGCTCCTCCTCCTCCTCCTCCTCCTCCTCCTCCTCCTCCTTCCTCCTCCCTCCTCCTCCCTCCTCCTCCCTCCTCTTCCTCCTCCTCCTCCTTCTCCTCCAGTTGTTCCCTCCCTTCTTTGAAGGCCAAAACAGCAGGTTCCAATAACTTTGCTTGACATCTTCTGGCAACTTTGGTGTGTACGAAGGAGTCCCAGAGGAAGGATGTCGTTCGTGACAGCGTCGGCCTGCCCCGTGTGGTTGGTTGTGGCAGGTCCTGAAGAGGATGGCCAACCACACGCCGAAACGCTGAGGGCGAACTGGACCAGGGGTGCCCGAATAGTTGGGCATACTCAGTCCGTAACCAAAGGAGCATCCCAAGACCAAGACAATGCCGATTATATTGCACTTGTGTTGACATGTAGCTGCTTTAAGAATCCTTCCATTCAGAGTTGACATGATGTTGCACTTGTTGTGATATGACAGGCAAATAACGGGTTATCAGCCGAAGCTCTCCAGGAGCTCGTCTTCGGCGGCGCAGCCTTTTTCCCATCAGCCAGAGAGATTCCGGCATGCCTGCTGTGAAGTCGGCTCCGCCGTCCTGTGCTCCAGTCAGTGCTCTGGTCACGGGGGCGGGGGGTCAGACATTCAAGGAAAAAGGGGGCACCTGCGGCCAGTCCGCCAGGTGCCGACGGTGCCACGAAAGAGGGGGCAGTTGTTCCCTCCCTTCTTTCATGGTCAAAACAGCAGGTTCCAATAACTTTGCTTGACATCTTCTGGCAACTTTGGTGTGTACGAGGGAGTCCCAGAGGAAACAGGGATGTCGTTCGTGACAGCGTCGGCCTGCCCCGTGTGGTTGGCTGTGGCAGGTCCTGAAGAGGATGGCCGGGCGAATTGGACCAGGGGTGCCAGAATAGTTAGGCATACTCAGTCCGAGACCAAAGGAGCATCCCAAGACCAAGATATTGCCGATTATATTGCACTTGTGTTGACACACGTGTAGTTGCTTTAAGAATCCTTCCAGTCAGAGTTGACATGATGTTGCACTTGTTGTGATATGACAGGCAAATAACGGGTTATCGGCCGAAGCTCTCCAGGAGCTCGTCTTCGGCGGCGCAGCCTTTTTTCCCATCAGTCAGAGAGATTCCGGCATGCGTGCTGTGAAGTCGGCTCCGCCGTCCTGTGCTCCAGTCAGTGCTCTGGTCACGGGGGCGGGGGGTCAGACATTCAAGGAAAAAAGGGGACACCTGCGGCCAGTCCGCCAGGTGCCGACGGTGCCACGAAAGAGGGGGCAGTTGTCCCCTCCCTTCTTTCAAGGCCAAAACAGCAGGTCCCAATAACTTTGCTTGACATCTTCTGGCAACTTTGGTGTGTACGAAGGGGTCCCAGAGGAAACAGGGATGTCGTTCGTGACAGCGTCGGCCTGCCCCGTGTGGTTGGTTGTGGCAGGTCCTGAAGAGGATGGCCAACCACACGCCGAAACGCTGAGGGCGAACTGGACCAGGGGTGCCCGAATAGTTGGGCATGCTCAGTCCGAGACCAAAGGAGCATCCCAAGACCAATATAATGCCGATTATATTGCACTTGTGTTGACACGTAGTTGCTTTAAGAATCCTTCCAGTCAGAGTTGACATGATGTTGCACTTGTTGTGATATGACAGGCAAATAACGGGTTATCAGCCGAAGCTCTCCAGGAGCTCGTCTTCGGCGGCGCAGCCTTTTCCCACCAATCAGAGAGATTCGGGCATGCCTGCTGTGAAGTCGGCTCCGCCGTCCTGTGCTCCAGTCAGTGCTCTGGTCACGGGGGCGGGGGGTCAGACATTCAAGGAAAAAAGGGGACACCTGCGGCCAGTCCGCCAGGTGCCGACGGTGCCGCGAAAGAGGGGGCAGTTGTCCCCTCCCTTCTGTCAAGGCCAAAACAGCAGGTCCCAATAATTTTGCTTGACATCTTCTGGCAACTTTGGTGTGTACGAAGGGGTCCCAGAGGAAACAGGGATGTCGTTCGTGACAGCGTCGGCCTGCCCCGTGTGGTTGGTTGTGGCAGGTCCTGAAGAGGATGGCCAACCACACGCCGAAACGCTGAGGGCGAACTGGACCATGGGTGCCCGAATAGTTGGGCATATTCAGTCCGATACCAAAAAGGGTCATCCCAAGACCAAGATAATGCCGATTCTATTGCACTCGTGTTGACATGTAAGTGCTTTAAGAATCCTTCCATTCAGAGTTGACATGCCAGGAGGAGGAGGAGGGGGAGGCAAATAATGCCTCCCCCTCCTGCTCCTTCTCATCCTCCTCCTCTCCGCCTTCGCTTCCCTCTCCCTTCCCTCTCTCCCCTCCCCCTCTCCTTCTCCCCTCTCCCCCCCCTCTCCCTCTCCCCTCCCTCCCCCCCCTCTCCCCTCCTCTTCCTAACTATCCCTTCCTCTCTCTCTCTCTCTCTCTCTCTCTTCTTTCCTCTCTCTCTATGAATAATCAAAACAACAAAAAAAACATCCCCTCTCCCCCTCCACTCTCCCTCTTCCCTCCCCTCCCCCTCCCCCCTCCCCCTCTCCCTCCCCCTCTCCGTCCCCCTCTCCCTCCCCCTTCCGCTTCCCTCTCCCTTCCCTCCCCCTTTCGTTCCGACTCCTAGTCCCTTCCCGCCTCTCCGTCCGTCCTTCTCCTCGGCGCGCTCCGTCTGTCCTCCGTCCTCCCTCTCCCTGCCTGGCCCCCCTTCGGGCCGCTCCCTCAGGACTGTCCTCTCGCCGGCGCTCCGCCCAGCTCCGTCGGCTTTCGCGGCTCCCTTGACCTGCGACTTCTTGCGGCTCCGCCGCCTTCAGCACGCCCTCCCCGTCGCTCCTCGACGCTTTCCCTTGTCGGCCTCCCGCCTCGCAGGAGGGCGGGTGCGGCAGCCACGGAGTTCACAGGCCCTGCCTCGCCGCTCTCCTGCCGTCGGGCTCGCGCGCCCCGATCTTGGCACCCCTTCGCGGCACCTCTCCCTGCCGCCGCCCCCCGGCGCGCGCTGCACTCGTGCTCGGGGTCGCTGAGTCTCTTTCCTTGCTTCTTCGCGCCCGCCGTTGGGGCAGCCCCTGGGTCTGCGCGCCTCGCTGCCTTCCACGGTCGATGGCCGTTGCCGCCCTCCCTTCCTCGTGCTGCCGCGTGGGCCCCTCCCACGGTGCTGCGTGTGTGGCCCTTTCCGCTATCCACGCCCAGACGGCCGATGCCGTTCTCTTTGCCTCATGCTGCCGTGAGAGCATCGCCCACGCTATTGCGTGCACCCTCCCCCGCTGTCCACGCCCAGACGGCTGGTGTCGGTAGGACTGCGTCCTCAGTGGTGCTTGAGGGCCCGTCCGCCGCGCGCACTGTTTGTACGCTTTCTCCGAGTCGTCGCCGCGCGCGAGACCGCTACCGCCAAAAAGTGCGCGTGTGTGCGTGTTGTGTGTGTGTGTGTGTCTGTGCCTGTGTATGTGTGTGTGTGTGTGTTCGTCGATCCTGGGGGATGCCTGCTCTTTCTCTGTGGAGCCGGCCCCGCTCGCGCGCGCGCTTTCTCGCTTGGGGGCTTTCTCCGCCGCGCCGCGGTGCGCGAGGCCGCGATCGCAAAAGTGTGTGTGTGTGTGTCGGTGTGTGTGTGTGTGTGTGTTTATGTGTGTGTGTGTGTGTGTATGTGTGTGTATGTTTGTTTGGTTGTTTGTTTGTTTTTTGTGTGTTTGTGTGTTTGTGCGTGTACGCGTGTGTGTTGTACCTGTGTGTGTGTGTGGGTGTTTGTGTCCGCGCGCGCGTTCGTCTGTGTGTGCGTGTGTGTTCCTCGCTTAGCACATCCGTCTGCTGCGCGCTTGAGGACCCCCTACGCCGCTGACTTACAAAGTGTGTGCTCCAGTATTTCTGTTTTTTGTGAAGTCTGGTTTTGTCATCATGAGCACGGTTTCGACGGTCGCCCGCGCGTGCCCCGGAACCGCCCGCCCCATTGCATCGCCTCGAGATTGGCGAGCCTCTGTCGGGTCTCTCGGGCAGTACACGCTTCATTACCCTCTCGGGCCCGCAGGCATTTGCAGGGGAGGCACGACAGAACAGGACGCGGCCATGTGTGAAGCAGATGTTGGGACCCTAGCGGCACTGCTGCGTGTTATGTCCAGCCCGCCGCGCTGATTGACAGCCCGTTGAAGTGATTGGTGCCTCAGATACAGCTGAGAAGCAAATGCGATCGCACCCTGTCGCGATCTGATCATGTACAGTGGTGCGATCGTCGCACCTGAGCTGTCCACTATGTCAGAGAAGTGTTGCGTTAGCTTTAGCTTGTCTGTATTCGCGGTAGGTGCATATCCCAGGGACGCAGGGGCCAGGGGCTACGGTATTTCCTGGAGTTGTTCTGGAAGCCAGCCCCCTCGATGGGTCTGGCCCCCCGTGATGGCTGTCCTCAGCTGGCCCTCGCGCGATCGTCCTCTGGCCCTCTTCAGCTCCGAGGCTGTGATGTGGGCCGCGTGTCGCCGATCGGGCTGGCGGCTTCCTCTGACGCCTCTGCCAGCGAGGCTCCGCTGCCGGCGTGCCCCCTTGCCCTCTCTCCCAGCCAGCCATGCGGACCGTCGGCTCCAGACCAGAGGGGTGTCAGTCTGCGAGCAGCGCGCGCTGGCCCCCCAGCGGGCCGGCGCGCCGCCCATGGCGGCCTACCGACCGGGGCAGGGGCTGACGTCCGGCACGGCGGAGAAGCTGCGGGCGAGGCAGCGCGCGGCGGAGAAGTGCGAGGTCTGCGGGGAGAGGGTGGAGGAGGCGGGCCTCAACTGCGCCTCGGTCGACGACTCGCGCCAGTGGAAGGGCCTGCTCGGCGAGGGCACGGGCGCGAGGAAGAAGGCCCGCTGCGGCGAGTGCACGAGGCCCCTGCCCGAGGACCACGACCCTGCGCTGGGGGCCTTCTGCGCGGCCTGCGCGCCGAGGTGCGCCGCCCTGCTCGACGCGGGCCGGCGCCGGGAGGAGCGGGTCGAGCCCGAGGCGGCGCCGGCGGAGCCAGAGGATCGGCTACGCTCAAGTCGGGCGCGTCCCTCTACAGGAGGAAAATGCAAAAATAATCCAAAAATAGTCGGCGGTGATTTTTGGAGATTTTGTCGACCTTTTTTATTTCTCCTCCAAAATCCCTTTCAGGAAGACATGCCCGACCTAGGGCTACGCGCAAAGAGGGGCCCCTCGCTGGAGTGACCTCTGGTTTCCGGCCTCCTTGGGTCGGAGGATCGCGCCGAGTCGCCGGTGCATCGGCGGTGTGGCTCGATGTGGAGTCCGATTTCCTCTACGCCGACGTCGCCGATGCATCGGCGGTGCGGCGCGATCTGCTGGCCCCACCTGCTCGGACCCCATCTAGAGGGCCTCTGTTGGTGCTGGCCCGCTGGGGCCCCCCGGACGCCGCACGCGATGCGGCAGCAGCGCCTGGCGCGCTCGAACTTCGCCCCCCCCCCCGCGGCCTTCGAGGGAGTCCGCCGCCAGAGGTCCCTCCTGCCCGGGGTCGCTCCTGCGGCGTACGGCAGGTTCGCGGCGTGTCGACTCGCCGCGACCCCGCCCGCGGGCGTTCGAGGTTGAACGCCGCCAGTGGCCCAGAATCGGCCCAACATGGACCGATCTGGCAATCGAGAAGTCGCCGATCGTTCGAGGTCGAACGATCCACGCGATGTCAGGAACCAGCGCTGGGGTCGTCACGACACGAGCCCGGTGTAGCCGGGAGGAGGAGATGCAGTTCGGCCATCTGATCCGCCCTGGCATCTGCGGCAGGTGCCGCGAGGAGCGGCGCCGCCGCGGCGCGGAGGAGGCCCGGGCGAAGCGGGAGGAGCGCGAGCAGGAGCGGGAGCTGGCGCTGGAGGAGGGCCTGCTCCCATGATGGGCAAATTTTCCACCACCACTACCATGTAGGACGGGGGAAAAGTGAGGATGAGGGGTTCCTCCTCCTCCTCCTCCTCCTCCTCCTCCTACATATGGTAGTGGCGGTGGAAAATGGGCCCATCATCCCAGCGGGACGTCTGGAGCTCTCCCTCGCCGAGCGGCCCTTTGGGATGACGGCCTCCAAGGCGGAGGGCGTCGGCTACCTCGTGGCCAAGGTGTCCGACGGGAAGCCCGCGGCAAAGGCTGGCGTGCGGCCCGGCATGCGCGTCGCCGAGGTGGCCGGCACCTCCTGCGGCGGCCTGGACATGGAGTCCGTCCAGGCGCTGCTGAAGGGCGCGGCGCTGCCGGTTCCCGTCGCGTTCGAGGCGGTGCCAGAGAACGGCGACTTCTGCACCGCGTGCCAGTCGAAGAAGAAAAGACGGCATAATTAAACATCAGATTTCGGAGAGCCGCGCGGATTTCTTGGATCGGCGCCCGGCCACTTCCTGGCGGCGCCTTCAGCGCCGCCTCTGGCGCGATTTGCGCGCCAGGGAGGGGGGTCCCGCGCCGATTCAAGACATCCGCGCGTACATCCGAAAGTTTATGTCTGTGCAGGTTTTTCTTCTTCTGGCCAGCGCGTGCTGGTGTGGGCGCAGTTCTCCAGGAAGATGCGCACCAGGCCGCCGGACAAGCGCCGGTGCGCGGCCTGCGTGGAGGCTGGCGGCGGGGAGTGA